TTTGGAAGCTGTAGCTGAAGTGAACTCAAGGCCAGCCTGGGGTATGTAGTCAATTCTAGACTAGTGTGGGAAGGAGGGAAGATTGGTGAAAGAAACATTTAAATATTAACTTTCTAATCTTTGAACATAGTATTCCTTTCATTTACATAGATAGGCATATTTTCTCAGCAGGATTTTGAAATATTCTCGCATATATTTAATTAAATTTTCTTTTTAATATTAGGGCATTTCTTATTATTTCATATGCCCCTAAGCATGCACCTATTGTAGCCAGACAAAATTTTAAGAGCAACTCTTAACTCACATCCCTGAAATTTTTTTCCACCATTTCTGTTCTCCAGGCTCTCTTGGAGCACTTATATCTGTTCCTTAATGCCAGTGAGAATTCCAGGTTCTATATGGCTCCTTCCTCCCTACACCATTTTCTGGAAATTGCCTCCTGACACAGAGCCTGCAGGATGTCAGGGCTCACCTTTTTTCCTTCATAGCAGAGATCACAGGCTGGCCATGCCTGAAAACTCTGGTTGTCTCCTTTGGATTTTGTTTTCTAGTGGTTTATAGCAGATGGGTAGGTAAGTCTGTACCATGATTAACAACAAAGTCAGTCTAGAAGTGAAAGCAGTTTTAAGAAAAGCTAGTTTTAAGAAAAGTTAGTCAGGTTATTGTAACATAATTGAAGTTATCTAGAGAATCTGAAAACGTAGTGGTGTTGACCAATTAAAATTACATTTTAATATTTTTGTTGGTGGTGGTGTTCTTGGGGCTTCAACTGAGGGCACTGGTGCTGTGTCTGAGCTCAAAATGCTGTTTTTGCCCAAAGCTAGTGTTTTACTGCTTTGAGCCACAGCACCATGTCCAGTTTTCTGGTGGTTAATTGGAGCACCAGACTTTCATGCTGATGCTGGCTTTGAACCTCTGTGATCCTCAGATCTCTGTCTCCTGAGCAGCTAATATTATAGATGTGACCCACCAGGCTGGACTCACATTTTTATCTTTTTATCCTTTAGTGGTTATACATTAAATGCTTATTGAATGCCAAATGGTAGAAAAAGAGTTTGGTTGAATGGCAGTAATCATTGTGTTTGAGATAAGGTTGAAGATTTACAACTTACAAATCTTAGAAATCTTAACTAATTTCTATATCTTTGGAATTCGAAATCATCTTTACTCATCTAGATTAAGTGTTTTGAAGTATTTTATGTCTCTAATAGAAATTAATTTTTTTGCTTATTGAACTTAGACTTTAGATTGACTTTTCAATGGAAATGATCAAAAGTGAGGTCCATACCGTGTCGATGTCCTCATGGAAAAATAGCCAAAATTTTTGAGCTTATTGTAATTGAGACATTTCAATTCATTTAAATCCTTCACTGTAGACTAACTGTAGAATTATATTATTATGATTTCACTTTGGCAGAACAGATTAATGGTATATTATATTGTTTAAATAATCAAATCATAGTATGAGTCGTTTGGTCTTGTTTTGATTTTTACTGCAGTAATATTCTCCCTTACCTGTAAAGGCTATATTCTAAAACTCAGTAGATGTTTGAAATTATTTTTTTAATGGTTATACAAGAAGTTTATCCATTTGTTTATAGTGCATATTGATCAGAATCATGCCTTCTATCGTTTTCTCCCCATTTACTCCTTCCTTCACCAGTCACTGAAACACTATATGTACTTTTTCTGACAGATACATATACATATTTATATATGTGTATATAATATTTAATTTATAAATTCAATACAGCAAGTGATGGGCAATATTAACTAATAGTAAAACTGAATAGCTATAAACAATTGCCAGTATCACTCTCTTGCCCTCAAAATTACTATGACCTGGATACAAACACTGATATGCCAAAATGGACAATTTGATAACCAAGTTGACTATTAAATGACTAATTGCCATTTAAGTGTACAGTATGGATATCATAGAGAAAGGAATAATTCATATATTTTTGGGGATGAGTGGGAAAGAGCCAGGCCGAGGGGTAAAACCATGTATGATCTCTTTAAAACTTACAAATGGGTCTGGCGCTGGTGGCTCACGCCTATAATCCTAGCTACTCAGGAGGCCAAGATCTGAGGATCACGGTTCAAAGCCAGCCAGGTAGGAAAGTCTGTGAGACTTATCTCCAGTAAACCACTAGAAAACCAGAAGTGGTGCTATGGCTCAAGCAGTAGAGCACTCCCCTTGAGATGAAGAGCACAGGGACAGCACCCAAGCCCAGAGTTCAAGCCCCATGCCCGACAAAATCAAAACAAAAAAAGAAGGATAAAAAAAACCTTACAAATGGACATAGTGGAATAGTCCCATAATCCTATAACATTGGAAGCTGTAGTGGGAGGATTGGGAGTTCCAGGCCAGCTTGGACCACTTTGTGAAACACTATTCCCCAAAAATGATTTAAAAATAGCAAAACTTACACGTTGTTTTTTCTGGAATAACTATTTTAGGTATTTAAGAATGCACATGGTATGATGTTTATTCACATTGTTGTGCAACAGCAGATCTGTAGAACATTTTCATTTGGAAATTCTGTTCCCTAGATACATTATCTACTAGTTGTTGACAGTCACCTTTCTTTTTTCTGTTTACAAAGTGTGTCCTTTCACTACTGACCTTGTTTTACTTACTGTAATGTTGTTAAAGTTCATTCCTGTTGTTACAAGGGGCAGGATTCTTTTTTTCTAAAGCTGCATAATATTCCATTGTATGTATCACATTTTTTTATTTTTATATTTTTAATTGTGAAAATACCATACAGAGGGGTTACAATTACATGGGCAAGGTACTGAGTACATTTCTTATCAAGCATTGTTGCCTCCTTCTTTGTTTTCCCTTCCCATCCCTTCCCATCTCCCCCTCCTCCCACCCCCATCACATTTTCTTTACTATTCGTCTGTTTCTGGCTGGGAAGGTGGCTCAGTGGTAGGGCGCTTGCTTGCATGCCTGAGGCCCAGGGTTCGATTCCTCATCCTCAGCACCACATAAGCAAAAAGAAAAAAGCCGGAAGTGGCTCTGTGGCTCAAGTGATAGAGTACTAGCCTTGAGCTGAAGAGCTGAGGGATAGCGCCCAGGCCCCAGAGTTCAGGCCCCACGATGGGACAATAAAAGAAAACCAGTAGCAAACTATTGGTCTGTTTCTATTAGTTATTCTGAGAAATATTGCAATAAACGTGGCTTTTTTTTTAGATCTTTCTTTGAATTCCTTTGGCTATACATCCCTTAAGTAGAATAGTGTGATCATATATTAATTTTGTTTTTGATGTTTTAAGAATTTTCATGGGGCCAGGAAGGTGGCTCAGTGGTGGAGTGCTTGCCTCACATGCTTGAGGCCCTGCGTTCAATTCCTCAGCACCACATAAGCAGAAAAAAACCAGAAGTGATGCTGTGGCTCAAGTGGTAGAGCACTAACCTTGAGCTGAAGAGCTGAGGGACAGCACCCAGTCCCAGAGTTCAAGCCCCACGACCGGAAAAAAAAAAGAAAAAAGTTTTCATAATGTTTTATATAGTTGCTACAGCACATAACAACTAATAACCCTACCACTCCTAATTTTGTATTCTGTCAGAGTGGCCATCATTATCAGTGTGTAATTGTGGATTTTAATTTTCACTTTCATTTTTCACATGCTAATGATGTTAAACAGTTTTTCAGGTATATATCGGCCATTTGTAGATCATCTTTTGGAGAACTATATGTTCAAATCCTTTGTTCACTTTTGAATCAGATTATTTGTTTATTGTTTCTTACAGATTCTTAACCTCTCATTATATGTTTACTTTCAATTGGAAATATGGATAGACTTTGAGGTTGTATGCAACATTTTGCCATTATACATTAGCATCTTAACGAATACTTAAGCTTGTATTATTTTATATACGTGATGTGTGTCTTTAAGGTAGATGTCTAGAAGTGTGGCCACTGATCATCAGACAATTACAGTATCTTCATCCTACAGCTTTCTCTGGCTTTTTTATTCTTTCCTAACCTCATGTAGACAAATAATTATTTTACACTCCAAATATTTGAATGTAGACTTCATAAAAAAATCTTTTTATTGACTTTGTATGAAGAATATTTTGCAATTATATTTAAAACAGAAATAGATGGTTCTTAGAATCACTAATAAAACATGAGAGCCATTGGACATTTGAACTAATTATGATAGTTCAAATCAGTGAAAAATGTGCATCTTAAATTCATTATTATAGCAGAAAAATTAAATGAAATTCGTACTAATGAAGGGATCAGGTATATGTAATCAGTGGGTTTCTTATGCTTTCTTTTTAATTTATTCTGTTTTTAAACTTCCATATTTTAACTTTTATTTATGTGAATTAATTTGTGTTTTACAGTAATAACTTCCAATTAATACTAGTACTTAGCTGAACTTATTTTAGCATAACTTATGTACGTTTATATTTAAATTTATATATATAAAGTCTTTCAAGGTGTACAATAATTGAGACAACCACAGGTAATTTGTCTTACTATGTACTTACTGTTCTTTGCGATACTCAGCCTTAATTATCTCAATGAATCTTCAAGACCCTTATGAAATGTTTTTATGATATATCCCCTCTTTGCAAATGAGAAAAGTGAGGCCTAAAAACTTTTAGTGACCTAGTTCATAAGGAGGCAAGATTTGAACCCAGTCGATCTTCAATATAGAGTCTATGCTTTTAATGAAATTGCTGTAATTCCTTCTATTGGCACTCCCTCTTATTTTCCTGTTTCTATCCAACATTGGATATAGGAACTTATCCTTTCCATTCTTAACCACTTTATTTGATTTCTCTTCTTTGAAGTCATATTTTAAGATTTTGTATGGCTAACATCAACTTGATTATCCTAAGTGATAGTACGGAATTGAAATTCCATTAACAGTTTCTGAAAAGCATCCCTGTCATGCCATTATTCATGGCAGAATACTGAACTATGTGTCCCATTTTTCTGACCCATTAAATTATTTATGTTCCTGTTTTTCAGTGGATGATTCAGCAGCCACACAAAGCAGCAACCTTTTTTGGATGCATTGGAATAGATAAATTTGGGGAGATCCTGAAGAGTAAAGCTGCTGAAGCCCATGTGGATGCTCATTACTATGAGCAGAATGAGCAGCCGACAGGAACTTGTGCTGCCTGTATCACTGGTGACAACAGGTAAGTGTAAACCAGGAAAGCACTATACTAATTGGCTGATGAAATCTGAATTCCAAATCAGAATTTGGAATTTAAGCTTCATATTTAACGTATCAACCTGCTTCATGAAGCGTAACGGAATGAAAGTTTGAGATTATTCACTCTAGTTTTTACCTTTTATAATTATGCTTAAGAAATAAAAATTCAGGCCTTAGTAGTAGAGTGCTTGCCAAGCACTGTGTTCAATTTCTCAGTACCACATAAACAGAAAAAGCCAGAAATGGTTCTGCGGCTCCAGTGGTAAAGTGCTAGCCTTGAGCAAAAAGAAACTCAGGAACAGTGCCAAGTCCCAAGGGTTCAAAGCTCAGGACCAGAAAAGAAAGAAAGAAGGAAGGAAGGAAAGGAAAGAAAGATTGATTCTTAGAGGTGGGCTTTTGAGATCTAATCTCAAAGCATGAATGAATTAACCAAGAATTATAAAAGTCTTTAAGTTGTTCACAATAGCAGAGTGAAATCACACTACAGTGAAACTGAGTCACCAAGGTTATTCTATAGTTTATGAATATATGCTGCTGTTCTCAGGAACAAGTGAAATGAAAAGATGCTTAGGAAAAGAGACAGGGGGAAAACAATGGAAAGAAGTAATAGGCCTCTAGGTTATTAAACCTCACATTTTCCACATCAAAACAATAAACCAGCACCCTCAGCTAGTAGATAGCATCCCACTGTGGGTTTTTTTTTTTTGTCCAGTTGTGGGGCCTGAGACCTGGGCACTGTCCCTTAGCTCTTCAGCTCAAGGCTAGCTCTCTACCACTAGAGCTACGCCACTTCCAGCTTTTTCTGCTTATGTGGTGCTGAGGGATCAAACCCAGGGCCTCATGCATGCAAGGCAAGCGCTCTACCACTGAGCCACCTTCCCAGTGGTTTTTCGCAGACATAACAGGGCTCAACTATCTCATATGTTCAATTGCTATTTTAATGAGTAGATATGATAGTATTAGTTCTCCAAATGTCAAAACCTTAATAGATATAACAATTTTGTGGTTATGGTGTTCAGATTGCATGAAATGGCCGAAACTGGGAAGAAACAACAGTATCCAACTCATCCAAATTCTGGAACATAACAGAATTGGAAAAGTGGTTTCGTTATTGCAGTTTAGAAGCTGATAACAGAAGTGCTTGCTTTTATTTAGCAGCTACTTTTGTCAAATTTATTTATTTATTTATTGCTGATCCTAAGGCTTGAACTCTAGGCCTAGATGGTATCCCTGATTCTGGCTTTTTCTGTGATTTAATTGGAGATAAGAGTTTCACAGACTTTCTTCCCCGGGCTGCCTTTGAACTGCAGTCCTCAGGATCTCTTCTTCCTAAGTAGCTAGGGTTATAAGTGTAAGCCACCAGTCAAAATATGTCAAAATATTTGGGGGGAGGGGGTCCTGGGGCTTAAACTCTGGGCCTGGGCACTGTCCCTAAGCTCTTCAGCTCAAGGGGAGCACTCTACCACTAGAGCCATAGCACCACTTCTGGGTTTTCTGGTGGTTAATTAGAGATAAGTCTCATGAGGGAGGGGGGGGCGGGGAGGATGGGGGGGCAGGGGAGGATGGGAAGGGGAAACAAAGGAGGAAACTACAATGCTTGATGGGAAATGTACTCATTATCTTGCCCATGTAATTGTAACCCCTCTGTACAGTATTTTCACAATAAAAGAAATAAAATTTAAAAAAAAAGTCTCACGGACTTTCTTGCTTGGGGTGGCTTTGAACCGTGATTCTCATATCTCAGCCTCCTGAGTAGCTAGGATTACAGGCATTAGCCACTGGTGCCCGGCAATAATTTCTTTATTTTTATTTTTTTGGTGGTTGTGGGATTTGAACTCTGGGCCTTGGTGCTGTCTAGGTACTCTTCAGCTCAGTTCTCTACCACTTGAGCCACAGTGCCACTTCCTCAAAATATTCTTAAAGTCAAGATTACCAGAATACTTTTGTTTTTTGTTTTTTTTTGGGTCCGGTCGTGGGGCCTGAACTCTGGGCCTGGGCGCTGTCCCTCAGCTCTTCAGCTCAAGGCTAGCGCTCTACCACTTGAGCCACAGCGCCACTTCCAGCTTTTTTTTTTTCTGCTTATGTGGTGCTGAGGAATCGCACCCAGGGCCTCATGCATATAAGGCAAGCACTCTACCACTGAGCCACCTTCCCAGCCCCTACCAGAATACTTTTGTAAATTAAATCTCATTCACCAATAAAAAAAGAATTAGTTTTAACTAAGTTTATAATGCAGTTTTTAATTAGTTTATAAGTTTATAATATATTTTTGCATATGCATATAATGATGCATGTTTCTCCTTCAGTTAATTGAGCATACACATAGGTATTGTGAAACACTAAATTGTCATATGGATGAGTGAAAATATGTTTTAGAAGAAAAATTTTTTTTCTTTCTCTTAAAGAAAGTAAGTGAAAATTACCAAAGTTTCATGTGATAGTTCTTTTGGTAACATATATTGCTACTATTTAATTTTTAAAGTAAAATAATTTTATTAGTAAATAAGTTCATTAATAGAATAATAATAAAATATTTTTATTAATTCCATATGTAAATGAGGAAAAAACTAATTCCTTTATTTTACTAATTTTAATTGTTGGGTTATAATGACGCTATCTTGGTGGCATTTATAGCAAGAGTTTTAATGCCACATACTGCTTAGCTTTTCTAGCTATAAAACTGGCTCCAGCCTACAGAGTTTTCTCCTCTAGAATCTAATTCTAATTGATTCCAGTTCTTAAAATGTAATAGTTTGCAAATTTATTCCTCATAGTAAATATGGTCTACATTTATATGTGTTTTATGAAATCAATCCCATACTTGGCTTTTAAAGCATTAATCTTAAATAGTCATTTATGGTCTGTTGATCTTATTTTTATGAAACTATTTTTCTGACATAAAAATTTAGTTTTGGTTACATACTATTTTCTTTTGCAGAATGATTTAGTAGCTTTATTTTTTAATTCCATTTTGAACTATGAATTTAATGAAAAAGTAGGTCTTAGGAAACTTAGATGCCAGTTTCTTAATTAACTTGTTGGTGTTTAGAAGGTTTATCTTGTGTCATTTTGTCTCAGGAACAAGTATAGAAATCTCTGAAAGTTTTCAGAACAAAATTGATTTTATTTGTATTTATTCAAAAATCTGTCAGCTTTGGAGATTTAAGAAATAACTATAATTACAAAAATAATTAACTGTACAGAAATATCTGACTGAATTAACTATGACATAAGTAAAATCTTTACTTTTTTTTGGCTGGTTTAGGTCGCTTATAGCTAATCTTGCTGCTGCCAATTGTTACAAAAAGGAAAAACATCTTGACCTGGAAAAAAACTGGATGTTGGTAGAAAAAGCAAGAGTTTACTATATAGCTGTAAGTATTTATTTTATTTTCTTGTTGAGGCCATATTTATATGAAGTAACATGATTGTTGGCTGATAAACATTTTAAAACAATTGCCTTTATCAGAACCACCAGTTGTTTACCTATCTCAAAACATAGGTTAGTTAGTTCACTATTACAAGTACCAAACAGAAATAGAATCTTTGTCTTTTTTTTTTTTTTTGGTCATGGGGTTTGAATTCTTGGCCTGGGCACTGTCCCGTAGCTCTTCATCTCAAAGCAAATAAAGTGCTCTACCACTTGAGCCACGGCGCCACTTCCGGTTTTCTGGTGGTTTATGGAAGATTAGAGTCTTAAGAACTTTACTGCCAAGGCTGGCTTTGACTGTGATCCTCAGATCTCAGCCTCCTGAGCAGCTAAGATTACAGGCATGAGCCACTGGCACTGGCTAATCTTTGTCTTTAGTGCATAATTTGTGCTGCTTACCATCAAGTCTACCCTTTTTCATACATTACATAGAGAGATACTTGTCTAACATGCACAGAATCTTGAACTATTAAATCAGTTTCCTAATATTTTTTGAGGTAATTTTAGAAACTTCCATTTTATACTTTTAGGTAACTTATTAATAATGTGAGAATTGTGTAGTAAAATATTAGGAATATAATCACTACAACAGTTTGAGCTCATTTGCCTAAAAAAATCTTAATTGCTATTTATCCCATAGTAATGAATCATGACACCTTTTAATTTAATATTTCAAAAGCATTGGTCATGAAAATTTTTTTTAATTTAGGCATAAGGGCAGCATGTAATTTGAATTCTAAAGTTTTCTGACATGAAAATAATTGTTGGGGCTGGGAATGTGGCTCAGTGGTAGAGTGCTTGCCTTGCATGCATGAGGCCCTGGGTTCGATTCCTCAGTACCACATAAGCAGAAAAGGCCGGAAGTGGTGCTGTGGCTCAAGTGGTAGAGTGCTAGCCTTGAACTGAAGAGCTGAGGGACAGTACCCAGAGTTCAGGCCCCATGACCGAAAAAAAAAATGGTTTAAAAATTTATTTCAGGGCTGGGAAGGTGGCTCAGTGGTAGAGCACTTGCCTTGCATGCATGAGGCCCTGGGTTTGATTCCTCAGCACCACATAAGCAAAAAAAAAAAAAAAAGCCGAAAGTGGTGCTGTGGCTCAAATGGTAGAGTGATAGCCTTGAGCTGAAGAGCTGAGGGACAGCGCCCAGGCCCAGAGTTCAGGCCCCACGACCGGGCCAAAAAAACAAAAACAAAAATTTATTTCAAAAATAGAACTATGCCAAATATTATCCTAAACTAATCACCCCATGATCACTCACATATCAGTAGATTCTATCAAAAACTAAAAACATTGCATATAATATATAGTTTTGGTATAACAGCTGCTGCCATTCCTCTATCTGAGTTGTGTGAAACAGCTGGTAAGACATGTAGTAATTATCCAGTATTAATGTGTTTATTGAAAACAATGTCTCCTATAACATGTCTACATGCACTGCTGTAGACTTTAAATATTATTCTTGATTCTGCTGTGTCACAGATTCTACCCCTTCATAACTGTCCAATAAATGCTTACATTGAAAAGATTATGTAATGAAAAGTCATGCTCCCTCTGTCAATAGCTGAAATTTTTTCTTCAAGAATTGAAGATTTGTTCCCCCTTTCTTACTTGTATTTTATATTTTTTCTTAAAATAGTTTAATTTAGTTACAGTCTGGTAATATGCTTTTATAGTGATTCTTCACGTTGTTACTTAGTTTGCTTATCTTCTTTTGTGCTCAGACTGGCCTTAAACTGTGTAGTTGTGGCTGGTATTAAATAGATGATCCTGTTGCTTCAGCCTCCTGACTATCACTATTCTGCATTGGAGTGTGATATTTCAAGTGAAATATATGTAGTATTTTAAACCATCGTAGTTTGAAATGTCAGATTTTTGAATAAACACATGGTTGAACATTGGCAAGATTTATACTATATAGTTTAAATTAACTATGATAGATAATGACCATACATTTGGATTCAAAACTATTTTTAATTTGACAATACAGTTCTCTGTATTTCAGTAGATAGTAGTTGAATCCTGAATTACATGCCAACTTGCAAACAACTTACAATGATTTAATAAGGGTACAATGTAAAAATTATACAGTATAATTCATCTCTGTGTAAATGGAAGTTTTATAGAAGAATAGACCCAACTTGTAAACAAATATATACTACAACATATCTAGCTAAATTTGATGAATGGAATTTTTATTTTAACTATTCCTGCCAAAGTGCAATTTTTTTTTTTTTTTTTTGTCGGTCGTGGGGCTTGAACTCTGGTCCTGGGCGCTGTCCCTCAGCTCTTCAGCTCAAGGCGAGTGCTCTACCACTTGAGCTATAGCGCCACTTCCGGTTTTCTGGATAGGAGTCTCATGGTCTCTCCTGCCCGGGCTGGCTTTGAACCTTGATCCTCAGATCTCAGCCTCCTGAGTAGCTAGGATTACAGGCGTGAGCCATCAGCGCCCGGCCAAAGTGCAAATTTGTATGAATCATAAATGATCAACTCTGGTTAAATTCAAAAGAAAAATGGAATTTTTTTTTGGAATTGTGTGGTATGTTTGGCCAAAAGAAATATTCAAATGGATTCCAGTTGATGTCTCTGATAGTAGTTGTTAGCTTTCATCTGTTTCAGTGCTTCTATAAAAAGAATCATCTCTTACATTGCCAGGCAAATCTGTATTTTGCTCAGAGCCTGACTTGTTCTTGGAAGAAAAGACTCATTTTGGATGTCTAAGGTGTTTTCTATTTTTGGTGACCATTCAACAAATATTTAAAGTTTAGAATTAAATTTTTGACCATTTATTAGCATGAAATGTTTATCCCTCGGAGTATACTTTACCCTGAGATCCAATGTGTCTTGAAATAATATATACGGATCCCTTTTGATTATTGATAACATGGAATCTTTATTCCTCCTTTTCAATTCTAACTTATTTATGTCTTCAAAGTGCATTTATTATACACACCATATATTTGGATCATATAGTTGGCCTACCATGATAATGCCTACCTTTTAATTTGAATATTTATACACTCATATTTAATGTATCAGTCAAACTGGTAAGATTAAGTGCATCCTCTTTGTATTTATTTTGTTTATTATTTAATCCTTTGTTTGTTTATCTCTGTCTCTGTCTGTCTGTTTGTCTGTCTGTATGTCTGTCTCTCTCTCTCTTTCTCCCTTCCAATTTCTGTCTCTCCTCTCCTTTTCTCCCTGTGGGCTCATAATGTCCTTTTTTGTGTGTGCCAATATTGAGGCTTGAGAACTCAATTTTTTCATGGCAGAGGCTCTACCACTTGAGCCACCTCTCCAGTTCAGAATCGTGTGTGTGTGTGTGTGTGTGTGTGTGTGTGTGTGTGTACCAGTACTGGGGCTTGAACTCAAGGCCTGGGCATTGTTTCTTAGTGTGTGTGTGTGTGTGTGTGTGTGTGTGTGTGTGTGTGTGTGTGTGTGTGTACCAGTACTGGGGCTTGAACTCAAGGCCTGGGCACTGTTTCTTAGTGTGTGTGTGTGTGTGTGTGTGTACCAGTACTGGGGCTTGAACTCAAGGCCTGGGCACTGTTTCTTAGCTTTTTCACTCATGTATGCAAGGCAAGCACTCTACCACTGAGCCACCTTCCCAGCCCCAAAGTCCAGGTTTTTTTGTTGTTTGGCTCTTTTTGTTTATTTGCTGGTTAATTGGTGTTAGAGTCTCATGAACTTTTCTGCCTAGGCTGACTTTAAAGTTCAATCCTCAGGTCTCAGCCTCATAAATGGTTTGGGGTTGTCGGCAGGCGTTACCAGCACCCAGCTTTCACTACCACTTTTCTGTTAATTTCTTTCCAGTTAATCCAGTAATATCTCTTTTGTTGACAATCTCTTTTTTGTTTTTATTTTAGACATTGTAGTGCATGTCTTTATTCATCACGGTTGATCTTCAAATGATTCTGTGACTTCAAATTAAGTAACCTAGTAATGGTTTGATTCTATTTCAGTCCTAGTAGGTCTTATAAAATGTAACTTTACGATTTAAAAAAATTTTCATTTAGGAAGTGGCACTGTGGCTCAAGTGCTAGAGCACTCGCCTTGAGCTGAAGAGCTGAGGGACAGCGCCCAGGCCCAGAGTTCAAGCCCAGGACCAAAAAAAAAATTTTTTTTTTCATTTGTCAAATGACACACAACACATACTTGTGTTTATTTATTTGTTTATTCAATTATTTTTTGGTCAGTTGTGGGGCTTGAACTCAGGGCCTGAGCACATCTCTGAGCTGTTTTGCTCAAGGCTTATGCTCTACATCTTTGAGCCACCGCTTCACTTCCAGTTTTCTGGTAATTAATTGAAATTAAGAATCTCACACTTTCCTACCAGGGCTGCCTTCCCGCCATGATCCTTAGATCTCAGCCTCGTGGGTACATAGTATTACAGTGGTGAGCCACCAGTACCTGGCCTTTACTTTTTTTTAAATGTACATTTTTTGGGGAGGAGGTGGTTCCGATCGTGGGGCCTGAACTCTGGGCCTGGGCACTGTCCCTCAGCTCTTCAGCTCAAGGTTAGCGCTCTACCACTTGAGCTACAGCGCCACTTCCTGCTTTTTTCTTTTTGCTTATGTGGTGCTGAGGAATCGAACCCAGGGCCTCGTGCATGCAAGGCAAGCACTCTACCACTGAGCCACCTTCCCAGCCCCCTGAATGTACATATTTTATAGATGCTGTAACACGTCATTTTGTTTAAATTGTTACATATCTTTATAAATGACTTATATAATATGAAAAAGCATACTTTTCATTAAAAATACCTAAATAATGGCAACAAAACGTATATATTTTTATGTAGAATTGTGGTTTCCTTTTAGTTAGAGTAAGTTTTCCATCTAGTATCTTTTTTCCTTCTGTCTAAAAGGCAATCATCAAAACCAGGCGCCAGTGGCTCACACCTGTAATCCTAGCTACTCAGGACCCTGAGAGCTGAGGATCACAGTTCAAAGCCAGACCAGGCAGGAAAGTCTATGAGACTCTTATCTCCAACAAACCATTAGAAAACTGGAAGTTTCATTGTGGCTCAAGTGGTACTGTTGGCCTTGAGCTGAAGAGCACAGGGTCAGCACCCAATCCCAGAATTCAAGCCCTATGTCCAACCAAAATAAAAGGCAATCATCATTTCTTGTTTTGGGATCTATTGAGGATAAATTCTTCACTATTTGTGTGTCTATAAACGTCTTTATTTCCCTTTAGTTTGTTAATAGTTTTAATTTTATTGTCTAGGTGATGTATAGAAGGGTTACAATGACATGTGAAAGATAGTGGGTACATTTCTTGTCAAAACTTGTTAACCCCTTCCCTCATTTTTCTCTCACTTCCCTGCCCCCCAAGTTGTACATTTTATTTTAAACATACTGTCTTGTGCGTATCCCCTTACTTTTTGAAAGACATTTTTTTAAGTATGTAGTTTAGGTTTGGCTTTCTTTTCCTTTTATTAGGAAAGATGTTGCTCACTGTCTTCTTGCTTCTTTTGTCCTTTTTTAAGGGGGGAAGGGGTTGGTGTGGGGCCTGAACTCTGGGCCTGGGCACTGTTTCTGAGCTTCTTTTGCTCAAGGCTAGCACTCTACCACTTGAGCCACAGTGCCATTTCTGGCCTTTTCTGCTTATGTAGTACTGAGGAATCAAACCCAGAGCCTCATGCATGCAAGGCAAGTACTCTACCACTGAGCTGCTTTCCCAGCTCTCTTTTATCCTTTTTAAATTTTTCTTGCTTTATTTTTGAATTAGCATACATTAGTAATACGAAGGATCTTCATTTCCATTCCTCCCCTCCCTCTTCTCTTTTTTTTCAAGCAGTGTTTTGTGGGTAGATTTCATTATACTGTATATGTGGTGTGTTTGTGTGTGTGTGTGTGTGTGTGTGTGTGTGTAGCCCTTTGATCTTACTTATCCTTTTCTACTCTTCCTAATGATCACCTTTACAGAGTCCTCCTTTTATATTCATATCTTATTATTATTGCTATTCTTACTATCATCATCATTGTCATTGTTATTATAGGTCTGTATCCCATAAATGAGGAAGTACATGTGATATTTGACTTTATTTATTTATTTATTTAGTCAGTCAGTCAGTCATGGGGCCTGAACTCTGGAGCCAGGGCACTGTCCCTCAGATCTTCAGCTCAAGGATAGCACTCTACCACTTGATCCACAGTGCCCCTTTGGCCTTTTCTGCTAATGTGGTGCTAAGGAATTGAACCCAGGGCCTCAGGAAGCACTCTACCACTGAGCTACCTTCCCAGCCCAGATATTTGACTTTTTAAGTTTGGATTATCAGCATGATGGTCTCCAGTTTTATTCATTTTCTTTCAAATGACATAATTTGATGGCGTTGATAAGAATCCTTACTCTTTTCCCTCTGTATTGTGTTTGTTTGTTTGGCTGGTCATGGGGCCTGAACTCTGGGCCTGGGCACTGTCCCTCAGCTCTTCAGCTCAAGGCTAGTGCTCTACCACTTGAGCCACAGCGCCACTTCCAGCTTTTTCTGCTTATGTTGTGCTGAGGAATTGAACCCATGGCCTCATGCATACAAGGCAAGCATTTTACCACTGAGCCACCTTCCCAGCCCCTCCCTCTGTATTTAATTCTCTGCTACACCTCCCTGGACCATGTTGGTGTTTTTGTCTTTTTTTAAATTTTCTTACAAGATTTTGTTAGTATATGCCTTAGTATATTTTTCTCTATATTTCTTTTCCTCTGGATTTGTTTAACTTCTTAGAGCTGTGGGATTTTAATTCTAATTATGTTTGGAGTGTTCTCAGTTATTCCTTGAATTTATTTTCTGATGCCTAAAGGCACCTGAACTGAAGCAAAATTGATTGGAGAAACACTTGATGTTTGTTTTTTCTAATAGAGGCTGTATATTTCTGTCTTTCTGTATGCCTAAAAAAAAAATGTGTTGAATTGTCTTTATGTCATGCTGAATACTTTTTTTTTTTTTTGTCTTGGAGCTTGGACTCAGGCATGGTGCTGTCCCTGAGCTTTTTTGCTCAAGGCTAGAGCTCTACTCCTTTGAGCCACTGCACCACTTCTGGTTTTCTGATAGTCAATGGGAGATAAGAGTCTCACAGACTTTCCTACCCCTGCTGTCTCTGAACTGTGATCCTCAGATCTCAGCCTTCTGAATAGCTAGGATTACTGGCGTGAGCTACCGGCCACCAGTGCTGAATATTTTTCTATTGTTACAAATCTTGAGATTTATTCTGGGATGAATTTGTGTGTAACAAGTATGGAGGATTTATGATTTGTTATATGGGTCACTATAGTACTGACCAACCAACAATGATTCTCAACCAGCAATGATTTTTGTCCCTTCTGGAAATTTGGGTTTTGCATTGTGAGACTGATAGATGGATTGATTGAAACAGGACCAAGGATGTTGCAAAGCATCTTACAAATGCATGGCACAGCATCCCACAACAAACAATTTTCTATTTAAGAAAAGGAGTAGAGACAACATTAAGCAACCTTTGTCTATAGCTGGGAATATAGCTTCATAAGATTTTTGTTTAGAGATCTATATATTATTCCTAATGGCTTATTTTTATGGGAGGAAAGATTCCAAGTTGCAAAAACACTATAAAGAAAGAATCAGCTTGTAAGTTTAGGCTTGTAGAGAGAGTTTATATTTAAATTGTTATTGTAAAAGTGATGTACAGTTACATGTCATGTACATTTCTTTTTGAACCCTCTTCCCTTATTTTCTCCCAGTTTTTCCCTCCCACCCCTTCTCCTCTATATGTTATATAGTTCATTTTCAACAGTGTCTAGTGAGTATCAGTGCTGCATTTGTTTATACTTCTCCCACTCTTTCTCTGTTCTTCTTTGTCCTCTCCAAAACAGATAAACTTATAAAAAGACAGAGGTATAGAAATCAAAAACAGCAACAAAGGTGAAAATTTTTTTTAAAGAAGAAACAAAATTTCTTGGAGTTCATTTCAATAAACATCATTTTATATGATCATATGCACAAAACTATTGAGCCTTTGTGATCCTCTCCTAAGAACATCCTTCTTTGGTAATATTATATGAATGTCTAGATTCCTGTTTTAAACTTTAGAGAGAGCTTAGCACTGTGAAATGTACCTATTCTAGTTATTTGGAAGACTGAGATTAGGAAAATCAAGGTTTTAGGTCACTCATGTCAAAATGTTTACAAGATTCCATCTTAACAGTCATTTGTCATCTCAGCTATAGCAGGAAGTATAAGTAGGGGGATGGCATTCAGGCCAGCCTGAACAAAAAGTAAGACCTTATCTCCGGTGTTACCAGAGCAAAACATTCTGGAGATATGGTCAAGAGATAGAGTGCCTACCTAGCAAATGGGAGACCCTCACTTAAAACCCTGTGAAAATAATGCCAATAATAATAAGTAATAATAAATTAAAACTGCCAATAATAATAAGTGAAAGTATAATAAATCCTACCTTGTCAATAATTTTTTGAGAATATAAAGTTAGTAAATGAATTTTCCTTTGGAACAAATGCATATTTCCTTTTGTCTGCTTTTCTATTACAATGGAAAATGTAGATTATTTTCCCTCTGTACATTTATTTTATAACTATTTTGTGGAATTTTATCCATATTACGGGTAGATTTTTGTGAGGTTAGGGCTGGATTGTTATACCTGTAGAGAAACATAATTGTGAGAAATATACAACTGTTGAGTGGAAGAATGAGTCTATACTTGAAAAAAGAGTTTTGCATGTAAACAAATAGTAATCATAACATGTTTTCATTTTTATAGCTTTTGCTTTTAGTCTTCATAAATTTTCTACTAAAATTCATAATTATTTCATGAGTATTAATTTATATTGTTGGACCATTTATTGAGGATAGAGCAGTGTAACACATTCATGTAATCCCAGATACTCAAGAGGATTTGGTAGGACGATCACAATCTGATATTAGCCTGGACAAACAGACTTATTGGAAGACCCCTAGTCTTGCAAGTGCAAGGCCCTAAATCAAGCTTCAGTATGTCAAGGGAAGTAGGGAAGAGAGAGAATATTTATTTACATTGGATTTTAATTAAGTTTTTAGAGTGGATTGGAGAATTCATTATTGAACACAAGACTTTAAATAGGGAAGATGAGCACTCTAAATAACTTTGTAAGTGATTTGGAAGCAATCACAATAAGGTGATATGATAAAACATTTTAAAACATTTTTAAAAATCATGTTTGAAATTTTGTGCCAGCAATGTGGTCTCTCAATATTAAAGAACAAAATTGAATGAATATATAATGAAATATGTAATTGTTATCTTAGGATTTACTTATCTTTTGATAGTATTTTCTACAACATAGATTTACTCTAAACCATGATTGTAAATTGAAAAACATCAAAATCAAGAATTTGTCCTCTAATATTCTTTCTTTCATGAAAAGATTTGAGAAAGATTCTAGTGAAAGTGAATGGAGGGGCTGGGAAGGTGGCTCAGTGGTAGAGTGCATGCCTTGCATGCCAGAGATCCTGGGTTCGATTCCTCAGCACCACATAAGCAAAAAGAAAAAAGCCGGAAGTGGCGCTGTGGCTCAAGTGGTAGAGCGCTAGCCTTGAGCTGAAGAG